CTCTCCCTCTCCCACTTTTGTTTTAAAAAAAGAGGGAGAGAAATGTTTATTTTTTTTTTCTTGTCTTTTTGCAAAGGACGTTTTTTAGAGCTATTGGGAGGGCGCCCCTATCGAAGGGAGACGGGGGAGGCACCGCTCCTCCCTTGCAGCTAGAGTTCCTGAGTTCCTGTATATGCTCCCCCGAAGGGGGAGCACAGTTGCGCATTTGTTTTCCCCGCGCCGCCACGCCGCTATTCGCCGAGATCCATCACGTGAGGAGCAAAGCATCCACGCCGTGCAAGAAAGCCACCTTTACGGTCGCCCCGCCGACATTTCTCGCACCCCGGCGTATGTTCCCCTGCTTTCCGCCTCCTTTTCCTCCTCTCCTGTTTTCCTTGCGCGGCGGCGCGCGTGGCGCCGCTATTTGCCAAATTTAGTCACGTGAGGAGCAAAGCATCCAGGGTGTGCGGGAAAGCCGGCGCTACGGCCACCCGCCGAGGCTGAATGCGCAACTCTGCTACCGTAGGTAGCTATACAGGAACTCTACTTGCAGCTGGCCTGGAGAGCCACCACTGACAGCGTCCACGTTCCGTCATACAGTGAAGCGCTGTACGACCTGTGAGATCTCTCATTAGCAGCTCAGAGTGTTGACGTGTGAAGTGTTGGCTGTAAAATTGTCTCTCCGAGCCATAATATAATTTTAATCGAAATATTTCTAATGTTCGAGAAACAAACAATCTAGATATAGGATCAATATTGTTCTTAAAAAAATATCCCGGGATTGTCTTTCCACTTCGGTTTCGAGCGATAACAAACATGGCTGTCGGCGTCTACGGACTGATCAACAAACGTCGCTCTTCGAGCTCGTATGTTTTGATGAGTGCGAGTCGTTCTGCGTTCACCGAGCTGTTTAGAAGAATATCTCCTCAACCGATCTATTGTGCAGAAACACCTGTCGGAAGTTACTTGCGACAGTTGTATGTGCGGGTGCTTGGTTCCTAGCGCGAGGTAGCGGGAGTGGCCTAAACCTATAGCGTCCCACTATAACTATATTGGTTTGATCTGGCTTGATTTGTTTCGGCCCGCTGCTTTGTGAAGTGTGCAACCGTTGTGATTGCAGCCATGGTTTTAATACCGAAACCAGACCTGCACAGATACGAATTTGCGAGGGATTTGGCCGGATCCAATTGGGCGTTCGGCTAGTATCAGGCCTGTCACGGTTTTTTCCCGTCAATTTGCTTCGAAAGGAAAGTAGCTCTGCGTTTTCCAGTGCACCTGGCCCGCCAATGCCAGTATTTATATCGCGTTTTAGTTGTGCCTCATGACGCTCGCGGATCCCATCCGAAAAAATAACAGCAAAACAAATTGAAGGACTGCAATTTATTTTAACTTTTCTTAGTCCTGTTGGTCGCTTTCTACCGCACATCGACAGACGCCGACAGATGCTTGCATTGAAGCGCACCTTGTGCATGATGAAGCGCTAGAACGGCGCTTTTATGGCCGCGTCTTTTGAGCGTTGCAGAAATTTTTAGACGGGGGCCGAGTAGCAGACGGACGGAGGGGAAAACGGACGCCGACGCTCAGCTCTTTCGTGTCCGCGTCGCACGGACATTGCAGACGACGTTAGACGGTGGTGAAATAACAGACGATGCCAGTGGTTTCCGCCCGTCTGGTCGCACGTCCAGAAAGCTGTTCTGGGACTAGACGCACCGGAAGTCACGAAATGAAGACACTACACTTTTTAGCGTGTTCCGCCGAGCAGCCAAGCCAATCCAGTATTAATGGGTGGGGCCCCTCATCTTTGGGCGGGTCTTTGAGCGTGCCATGTCCTGACATTAAATTGTGTCTCACGGCGTAAATATTAGTAATAAAAAATATTTCGTGGAAAATTAAAAAAAAAGAATGTTAAGCCTTTCAAAACGATGTTGCTTGTCACTTCGGGGTCCTTTAAAGGCAGGGAGGGGGGGGGGGGGGGTGAGAGTTAAATGGGTTCCGTAATTACCACGCATTTAAAAGACTGAGATCACCGTACACGAGGAGATAACCTTCATGGTAAGTTAGCTATAATTTTAAAAAAATCGTTTATTAACTTTTTTTTTTAGATGTAGTGGTTATGGTTTCAACTTGCAGTATTGTAGGCAATTACTATTAGAGGGCGGATGAATTGAAAAATGATTTACGTATATAATATAGTTTTTTATATTAATAGTTCCATTTTCACCATTTTAGCCCGGCTTAAGATTTGCGCTCCAAGAAAGCGCCGCAAGCCCCGCCCAAAATGATGTGTGGAAGAGGGGCGCAGTCGTTTCAATCGCGTCTTCATTATCTCGGTAGTGTGTATTTCGTAGCCTTGTTTCTATGCCTTCTTGCGATTTTACGTTATGCCCTTTGGCTTAACGCACGGTGATCGTACAAATGTAGTCACTCATTTCGTTGGAGTCACGCTAGTCTTTCTTCACTGAAGCCGATTGTTCCGCTCATAATTGGTAATACATAGCACAAAGGTTTAGTCTCCTTCTGAATAGTAGCAGCGTGGCGCCTGAAATCCGTCTCGGACTGGTGTGTTTACAACATCCGAAAAGTGGTCACTCGATGTCCGCCTGATGACGTCATAGACGTGTCATGCAGTCGACGGCCGCGACCCTGGTGAAGTCGCAGCACCCAGGAGTTGGGACTCCCCGACGACAACGACACTCGCTCCTTTTTCTTGTACATTTCATCGGAAATTTTGGGGCTAGCCACCAGGATTGCGACATCCGAGAGTATAACACTCCGGTTGTTTTGACGTCGTTTGTTGCCACTTCGGGAGCACTTCCTAAGCACGGGCGGAATAGGACGCTAAACACACCAGTCGAAGACCCGTTTCCGTCGCAGTAGTAGCCGTGGTCTCTCCCTTCTTTCACTCCATCTCTTCGTTTCTCGACAAATAGGCGGAGGAAGCATAATGTAGTTCCCACTTATGATTATTTTCACAAAGTGCTGTAAAAAAAAAAAAAGCTTCTCAGACAGGCAAAAAAATGCCGACTCAGTGCGCTGTGAAGGTACTCGATGCGTCTGATATTCCGCAGAAGAACTGTGCATCACTTAGGACGCGTTCCACTAACCAGTAAACAAATATGGCCGCTCGCAGAACCAAAGGCAATTAGAGCAATTGTATACACTCAGTTTTATGGTAAACGCACATACGCACATACACGCAGACACGAACATTGTACACGCCCAGCCGTACACGCAGAAACACGGCGTACGAACTCGCGCAAACACGCACATGCACACGAACACGAACATGAACACGCATGCGCGCACACTCTCAAAGATACGCGTACGCACGCACCATAATGGTTCCCAACTGCACACAAGTGCACTTAAAGGGACGACCGATGGACAGCCGTGATAAACTAATATTCTGCCTCAAACCGGACCGACCTAAAGTTTTCAACCTCATAGTTTGCCCAAAGCGTGAGGCGTTTGTTGGGGACATTGATTAATTTGCCGTGCGGATCCGACATTGCAGCGTCCCACACTCGTCTGGGCAGCAGTGGCGATTGATGGCTTCGTCTAATTGTAGAATTATGTTCCACAGTGTGGTGGCCTTGACGCGCCCCTCGGTGCAACCGAGGTAGCCCGATTTCCCTAAATCACGCCGCGGATGCACTTGAAATATCTCTTGCCGAGAAAGTGTTCGCGTCGGGTGTTTATAAATACTCCCTCGGGAGCTATTACATGCTTTAGTCGCTGCACGCGTTTATATGTTTGACTAGTGTCGGGGAGAGGTTAAGAGCCCATTAGGTGCTCCGCCTCCAGCTCACACTCATTGTCTTCCGCCCGGTTTTGGCTGTGCGTGCTACAAAATGTTACTAAATGCAGAGAAAAGCTCGGGCTAGAGGCGGAGAATCTACAGATGGTATTAACCGCGCAACGCCATCACTGGAGAACTTAACATCTCGAACGCACGACGGATTCTTCTCGGCTGACGTCCGGACCAGACCACTCTATATCCTATAAAAAAAATGTAATCGGAAAAAAAAACGCATCGACGGTTTGATGATTTTTGCCAGAAGAACAGTTATGGGCTGGTGTTCACCGTAACGTCACGTGAATCTTTAGCCAGAGCCACGCGTCATACGCCGCGCCGTTTAAGTAGCACTACCTGTAGCTACCGGCAAGAGATGCTGGGCCTGACGTATCACTTGTTTGCTTAGTACGTATTTTGCGCTTGTATAGTGTCCTCTTGTTTCACCTTGAACCATGTTTTGGTATGGGAAATCTTTTTTGTATGTGTTCTTTTTTGTTCCTGTGCCTTTGCTATTTCGCCTATGTAGGAGGTCGAGGACCTTGTCAAGCCGTGCTTTACAGCTTTTTTTCTCGACCTCCGCCATCAGTGTTGATGGGAAATAAACTTACTTACTTACTTACTTACTTACATCCCTGCAGCACACTTCGTGGGAGGCTACAAGCGAAGTCCATCCCAAAAGCGGAACGCATGTCTAAGGCATGAGCCGGGTCGTGGCTCCTACTCGACAGATGGAGAACAACACCTCGAAGGCCTACGTGCTGCTAGGGGAAAGCACGTCTATAGCTGCGGTCGCCGACGGGGGCCCTCGTTTACGAGGACGGGGGTGGAGGCACGGCGTGCCGGCGAGCGTTTCTGTCTGATCGATGGGCGGGCGCAGAACAGGCCGCGTGGTGCGCTCATCTGGCCCAGGCCCTCTTAATTAGCCGGCCAAAGCAGGGCTAATGCATTCATGCCGGCTGAAAGGGCGCTGGCCTTGCCTGCCCTGCTGTGGTGGCTTTTGTGCGAGAAAGGTGATCCTGTTCTCGGACACGTGCGCGCGGAGGGAGGATTCGAAGGCTTGTTATTGTTGAGAAATATGAATACGGCCTTTTCCCGACGGGCCTAAATCAAGGTGATGTATGGAAAAGCGGTGTGCATACCATTCAAATTCGCGAACTAATGCTAATGTGATGTCATTCAGAAAAAAAGAAGAAAGTTAAAGAGACAAACAAGTGACGGAACTTACCTAGAACGAAGCCGTCCTTACTCCACTGCACAGGACCGGCCTGGTTAGACACCTCACACATGAGCTCCACAGAATGACCTTCGATGACCTCACGAGCCTGGGGCCGCACCCGGAAGTTCTGCTGCTGGCCGGAAGCTGTGACACAAAAGAAAAACGGAGATGATCACTGGTGGGGCTACAATTCATTTGCTTAAAATATTATGTTTTGAAAGTATGACTGTGCTGCAGACATCAGAGATCCCAAACTGTGTTGTATTTCCCCTAAAATTATTAAAAAAAGGAAGCAAAAAAAAGTCGTTTTGAGGTTTCGCTATTTCGTGGACTATTTACATCTAAGACATGCCCGTAAACATTGTAGTATAACTGCATAAATTCACACGAAAAACATTCGATCGCCATATTCAAGGTAAATCCCGAAGAGGCATATGCGATTCTTTTTCCTCACGTGTATCTCCCGCACAAAGAAATAATCCGTCGGAAAAAAATGGACGTTTCATCAAACGCCGTTTTATGGAATCGCTGACGGCCGTTTCATCAAACGCCGTTTCACCGAATCGCTGACGGCCGTTTCATCGAATGTCTTTTATATAAAAAGTGCGAAAGATGCTTTTTTATGCACGGATCGAGTGCGTTTTCCTGTCATTCACCCATTTCATCGTCAGGTTTTTTTTTTAATGTCTGAACTTGTAGCTGTTACAATTTATTTTGATGCAAGTAACCCAGGAGGATATTTGTACCGACTTTCGGGTGTAGCACGATTGCCCCGCATGCAGAACCCCTGTCCCTAAATCCCCGTGTCATTAGCCCCGCGTCTCAAAAGCCCCTCGGTCAGAGGCCCCGTTTCATATTCCCCACGTGCCAAAAGCCCCGTCCCATAATTCCCTTTGCGCTTGGACCGTCATTGTTTTGTGTCTTCACCCCGCGCACAGCCATATTTGCCTACATAGCGTAAACGTGCCAAAAGCCGCGTCTTCACTATCCTCGCACAACTTTCTGCCCGAATCAGCTCGGAACAATGACGGAGTTCTGTCCGTCATTGCTGCGCGTCTTCACACCGTGCACACTGCACAGTGGCCCCGTTTCCTTTTCCCTTGGTGTGGAAAGTCTCGTCTTCACTGTTCCCGTTCCCCTCTTTGCTACGACTGCCGTTGTTCCGATCCTTGACCTCGACCCTTCCGAGGCTACAGCAGAGGGTGCATTAAGTGAAAGGAACAATAAGATTAGGATAACAGACCAGGAAAACCCCTGGGGGAATGACGAAATATACAATTGCAGGAGTTTGCAGTTCTTTCGAGGGTGATGGTATTTAAGGCCACATTGGCCAGCATTGGGCTCACTTGCCAAGATGGAAGTGGTTCAGACGCAGAAGGGAAAGGATGCCCTCTACTTAGACGGGTACAAGTACTGTTTTCAACGTCGTAACAAGAATGGGACTGTTGTCTGGCGCTATGACAGGTATTGCGCCATGAATTGCGGATTGACAGTGCTGACGGAAGAAGGACGCGTGCTTCAGAATCCAGGTAAGCTTTTGCTCACTTCATCGCGTGCTTTTCGATAATAGCTGCGTAATATGATGTTGTATCCAGTGCACATGATATTTTATGCCTCTTTTAATTTGAAGGGGAGCACACACATGCGCCGAACGACTTGAGCTTTAACAGCGCACGTCTGAAGTGTGCCTTGAAGAAAAGGGCCATCGCTGAACCCCACGCTGCTGCCCCGGAGATGTATTCCCAGCATGTGAGGAGCTTAGTGGGAAAGGCAAGTGATGTCGATCTAAGAATCATACAGCGAAAGAGTTTGAACCTATCTTTTCTCTCTCTCTCTCTCTGTTTTTATCAGGTCAAGGAAGACGTCTTGGCTCAGCTTCCGACCTTTGAGAGTGTGCGCAGTACGATCTACCGAGCTAAAAGACATACCAACCTACAGTGCCCAAGACTACAGCTGACGTAAAGTTAGCTGGAACATACACTGAAACCTTGGACGGAAGAAAGTTTCTTCTTTTTGACGTGTCAACCAGTGCTGGTCGCATCGTCTGTTTTAGCACAAGCGACGCACTCACAGAGTTTTCTGGGGCGAGTGAGGTTTTTGTCGATGGAACCTTCTTCTCGTGTCCATCTTTGTTTTATCAGATTTTGACCATAAGCGGTCGTGAAAGAGCGGTGTAGCTTCAATGTCGCTTATTTTTTGCTACCCGGCAAATCCCGCGATGTTTACATACAGGCCTTCGAACATTTTAGGACAGCTCTAACTGACCTAAACCTTTCCGTATCGTTCGACCTTGTCCGAACGTACTTCGAACTGCCGCTGATTCAGGCCATCCTCTTCGTTTTTCCTGGTGCCCGTCACCGAGGCTACCACTTCCACTTTTCCCAGGCAATCTGGCGGAAAGTTCAGGAGCTTGGACTCTCGAAGGCCTATCGCTTGGACACCTCCGTGGCCGGCTTCGTGAGAAATCTGATCAGTCTCACTTTCGGGGGTTCATGTGTTCGTGCGACAGCCATTCACCGTTTCAAATGATGAGCAATTGCTTTCAAAAATATCCCACAGCCATGCTCCGTCGGTTCTCATAAAAAAGCCGGACCTTCTTATTTCTTGCCGCTATGGCCTTCTTCTGGCGAGGAGGCTCTCGGGGACTCAGCATCGCCTCCAGCTTGTCTTCCGTCAGTTGATGTTCTGTGGCGATGCAAGTCCAAAACTTCCAGAATCCGGGATGGGCAACTCCGACCAGCTTCAGGAAGCGGGAATGCCACCCTGGCGTTCGATAAGACGGCGTCCGATAAAACGGCGTTCAATGAAACGACTTCGATGAAACGGCGTTCGATGAAACGGCGTTCGATGAAACGGCATTCGATGAAACGGCTTCGATAAAACGGCGTTCGACGAAACGGCGTTCAATGAAATGTCCGATCCCATGCCATCATGACCACGTGTCGCATGAATAGGTTGCCTCAGCCCGGAAGAATTCACCATGTCCCAACTTTTTTTAGAGGCGCGCACGCTTTTTTAGCTAGATGCTTTTAATAGCGAAAGCGTCTGGCGACAAAGCCTTCTTAGTTCACCAGCTCAGTAAGCTTTCGAGATGTCACCCGGCATATGCTGAAAGACGCTGTGCGTTAGAAAGAAAAAGTTATTTTACGCAAACCTGCTCTGACAGGCTTACATAAGCAGTGTCAAAACGAACATGTCACAGTCGTTCGTTGCTTTGTTGTTTGGTAGTGCTTTATACGTATCCTGTTTACGCACTGTGAAAAGACTTCTTCACAGGAGTTCACTTTGTCCCTGCCGTCCTTGCGCTTGTATACCTTATACAGCTAATTCAGTGACCCGTTTATTTTAGTCTAGAGGGAGTGAAGCGAATCTACAGGTGTGAAACAAAGACCAGTCGTAATGCTCTGATTGGAATGATGAGTGGGAAGAACTAAAGCTAGCCTCCTTTGACTCCACTGCACTCACCGAACACGTTCGAATGCAAAAGCCGAATGCCGGACGCCGGCGGTGCGTGTTGTAAAGCGTTCTGCAAGGGCAACGGAGACAAAAGTCATCTAGCTTCAGGCCTACCCACTAATCCTTGCAACAAGAGCTCGGCGTTCTGACGTCCCGGCTTACACTCGTCTCCTCCTCCCCTACAGTTTCTCGGCGCGTAGATGTGTCCTTAAACAAAGCTAAAGTATATATGTTTCAAACCGCCTCACTGCTCCGATTTTTTACACCGAGTTGCTGATGACGACCTCCTAGTTTCCATATCCCGTCACCGTATTTTTATTTATCACCTCTCTCCGCTGGCTTTCTTGTCCTAAAATTGTTATTAACAGTTTCAATAATTGTTGAAAGTGTATTTGAGCACAAATTATTGTGCTCAATGGCTGAGTGCTGCATCGTCGAAGCGTACACAACCGCAAGTATCGTGCAAGTATCGTTCATTTAGATGAAACAATTAAACATGCAAAAAACGAGGAATTGTGTTGTAAAATGAATGCCGCCGTAGGGTGCAAGAAATTCACGAGTGCACCTGCCGCCACCACAAAGTATCTATTTCTCGATGTGCATCTTGGCGATACATGTTTTCGTGCGTTTCACACTGCGTGCACTGTACGTTATTACGTCAACTGATATAGGTTGTTTCGTTGAAATAATACGGTATAACGGTTATTTCGCGTCCTGACAAGGATTCAGGTTGAATCGTTCAGAGCAATGTCTCAGATAAAGAGACACGGTACGATATATAGTATACATATATTTCGAGGCTTATAGTATTTTAAAATGCAAAACACCTCAACAATTTTCTTAGATATATTTGTCAACTATTCGCACTTCCCCATCCATGCGAGGTTTCAGAGCACATGTTCCGGGCGTCCTACGAGAAACTTGTTTAGTTTAATTCTAATCAACAAAAACGTTCCCGAAAAAAAAAGATAAACAAGAACTCACTCGCACCTTTGCATTAAATGCATATTAATCCTAACGGTCCATTTTACTTTTAATTTTTCTGAAACAGATTTTGATTGAGAAAGGAAAATTTATGACAATACTGGCAGAGCTTTTAGGCAGCCCTTTGATGAATGTAGATATCGCACTTGTCTGCGAGATAAGAGCGGTTGTATTTCAATCGAAAGGGACATTCAAGGCAACAATAAAATATGTGTCTTTAGTATATACACTTCCTTTCCCTCATAAAGATTTTTGTTTGTGGCTGCAAGATCATTTTCACTCTTACCCCTGGAAGGACCTTAGTCTTTTCAGAATGAATTTAATTTCTAAAAGCAGACAAGCGATCACGTTGCGAAAATCAACGGTTATATATTGACCTATATGACTTATTGTGTATTCCAAAGCTTCGTAAAACGAACAGACTGAGTCAAGCAATGAAATGAAAGAAAACAGTGAAAGTGTAAAAAGAATCAACGACGGAACCTCGTGGGTTCGATCCCCGCCGCCCCCGCCCGTTTCGATCTGGATGAGTTTCGTACCGGCACGCGTTCGTGTGATCACTACTGCGTGATGCACATTAAAAATCCCAGGTTAGCGGTTGTACCGCACTGGCCAAATTTCTCATCTACAGCTAAGAGACCGATTACCCGTTGAGGCGCATCTCCATCAAGGCTGTATAAACATAAAGAGCAAGCCAATTTTTT